CTTCTATGTGATCAGTCTCTGTCCCTCTCACCTGGGCACCTGCCTCTGTTTTCACCTGAACATTTTCCTCCCTGCACACTCTAGACTCCCAATAAGTGGTTATCATCTAGAACTGAAATACATGTTTTTACATCATGATTTCAGGTTACTTTTCCTGATGCCTCTTCTCAAAGGTAGCTGAGAAAAACGTTCTCTATCACCCTTGTCCAGTGGGACATTTTAGGATGCTGGAAATATTCTAAATACACCCTGTCTAGGAGGGCCTCCCAACTACAGGGAGCTACTGAGCGCCTGAAACATGACACTACTATGAGGAAAGGAAATTTCAATTTAATTACAGTTAGTTAAAAATTTATTTATTTATTATTGGTTTTTTTCCGGTACCGGGAATCAAACTCAAGACCTTGCGCTTGCCAGGCAGGCTCTGTGCTGCTGAGCTAAATCCCCAGCCCCAAAAATTTAAATTTAAAACTTTAGCTAGGCATATACTGCTCGTGGTGATCGGCACAACTCTTCATTTTTAAAGGAAAAAAAGAAGGAAGGGCTAAAAGGAGAGAGGAAAGGAAGGAGCATTACTTCCTAGTTTGTCTTTATCCTATCCTGATTCAAATAAGTTGATCATTCTACTTCATAAATATATAATTCCTGTATATCTACTGAAGATTTCGTTATCTGAGGTTTAAAGGCTACCTGCATCCACAGCCCATGGAGTTCTTCAAGATGCAGTTTCGCGGGCACCAGGAATTGCATCTGAGGAACTAGGCAAGCGTCTGGTGCTCAGAGAGTGAGGGTATGGTCCCCTACACGTTCAGAGGGCAATGCCAGATGGTCTGAAGCAGCAGGGTACTGGCTTCTGTCTAGAATCAGATTCTGAAAACAAGATTTTACCTCATTCAAAATTTCCCCCAGCAATTAATGTGTTCTAATTCCTTTACCTGACAGATTACTTTTAGGAAATTATTGCTTAATGACTGAGTCCAGCAGGAAGTCTGACCATTTTTCACTGTCACCTAAGTCTTAAATAATGCGAACCAGTGGAGATAACTTACTAAAGGGTAAGAAAAGGGGCAGTAAAGTACAGCACCTCTTGCCCTTGAAGCAACCAAAATTCTTTCATGCCCTAGACAGATATTCATAAATATACTACAAATTTAATGGGGTCTGAAGACCAGCTATTTCACTGAAATGAGCACATACTATTTCAGAACAGTGATAAAACAGATGTGTGAAAGAGCTGGGCATTCTTATCCTTTGTGTTGGGGAAAGGAGAAGGAGAAGAAGACAGTGACCATGCACCTCCTATATCAGCTTAGAATGATTGGAAACTGAGCTCTGCACAGGAGTATGTGGGCATCACCAGATGCAAACAGAAGAAACACTGATGGGTATTGTATTCCATGCAGCTTCTGGGCTCACCCTTGGGAATTTTTAGACACATTTAAGGCTTTTTCAGGCTTCAAAAGGGTCTTGCTCCTCAGCGACAGTAAAATAAGTGGGAACAATCTATGAAACCTTTAGTCTTCTAATATCTTTGGAAGATAACAAAATGCGGGAAGGTGTAGCATTTTGATCAACAGTGACACTGATTCCATTTTTAACTTAGGTGCTTGTGGTTTTCTTTTCATTTAATTTCATGACGAGATTCTAAAACTAAAACTGCTCTCTCTGCAAAGCAAAATGTACCTCATTAGCTTTTCCACTAAGGCCAATTTATGCAAATCCAGCATTATTAACTAAATAATTGAAGTGACCTTAGTCTACAAGCAAAGAAATAATGCAGCATTGCGATATGGGAGAAAATGAGGACTTGAAAGACCCCTTTGCTGGTCCCCCTCCTTTCAATGACACAGCGAGGTAGTGGACTTTCCACGTTCCCCCTCCCCCCATCCTTCCCCAGTGAGAACTGGTTAAAATGCGAACCTCTGAGTCCCCAGTCTCTCTCTTCCCCTTCCCAGGCTCTGGGTTTTACGGAGAACTAGGCCATTCAAGGAAAATTTTAGATGCCACCGTTTAAACAGTTGATGAATTCAACAATAATAAGAAAATAATCAAAGTCTAGAGAATTACATATTTTTTGTTAAGGAGACCTTATTTGGGTAGGCTTTTTGCTCTAAACTATCTATAATTTGATATTCAGCTATTGCTCCAAGTGAGGCCATTCCAGATGATATATGGGGCTCATAAAGAGGCTGTATTACTTGACTTCCAAGATGGTTCCATTTGATTAACATTAAAAAAAATAAACCCGGCAAAGACGGACATCAAAATGATTTCTTTTTCTGCAAACTGACGGAAAACTGTTAGAATCCAGCTCTCCTGCAGCTTTTCTGAGAGAAGAAAAATTGAGATGTTTCCTCAGTATCATGTAGACTCAAGCTGAGGTATTTGGACTTGGAACAATAACAATATTAAAGTGTTAAAAGTTGACTTGAAAAAAGACAAAATTGATGGGAAACTATCTGTATTGTTTTCAAATAATTCAAGAGAAAAAGCTTCCACTGTGCCAACATAACCTTTGATCTAGTTTGAAAAACATATTGTCGAAAACTCCCACCCAATTTGAAACTGTAAAGGCTTTTAAATACTGAGGACTGCAGATCTGAGTAAAGACCCGTAAAAACATCTTTTCAATTAGCAGTTCTTGAGACTTTTTGAACAATGCTCTGTCCAGTCAGCTTGGTTGTATTTTACAAGGATACGCTGACTTAAAACATGGCCAGGTTGGGTCTAGGGATTTAGCTCAGTGGCACAGCGCCTGCCTGGCAAGCGCAAGGTCGTGAGTTCAATCCCCGGTACCGGGGGCGATGGGGGGTGAAATATGGCCAGGTTTAGGTCTGGACATCAGAAAGAATCAAGAAGAAAGGACATGGCCCTGTGACTGAAATTCAGGGGTGTGTGTGTGTGTGTGTGTGTGTGTGTGTATGTGTGTGGCGTGTATGAGTTAGCTGGTTAGCTGTGCAAATAAAGTCTACTTTGTTTTGTGTTACTGAACTGGCTAAGGGCCCTTAATTATAATAATGCAGGTTAAATACTTTTGAAAAGCATAAGCCACAACCTTCATGCATCAAAACCATTCCTAGAACCAGGAGGTAACTGGTCAAAAACTCAGCCCCTCTACCTGACCAGCTAAAATTGAGAGTGGGGGCCAAGCTGCTATACAATAAAGTTGTGTTTGTAGGCGACTTTGTATCTAATAAGGAAAAATAACCAGAAGAAAGAAGAATCCCATTCTTACCCCTGGAAGTGCAAAATTTAATAGTAATATCTTCTTTTTTATTTTAAAGAGAATAAAAATAAAAATAAAACAATGAAAATGATATAGAATTTGAAAACATGATAGGAAATTAACAATGGTTATTATAATGCATACTGTTATCTTCAAAGTAGTTGAAGTGTGTGTGTGTGTGTGTGTGTGTTTCCCTTCTTTCTGTTTTTCTCCTTTCCCCCATCCCAGTTGTTTATTTTTTTGAGCAGTTTCTTTCCCTTTCACAATATCTATTGTACCTTTCAGATTTTATTTATTCTTTCAAGTTCTCACACTAGGGAGAGAATAAGATGTTCATACATGTGGGTCCTATTTATTTCACTTATGAATATTGTCTCTAGTTGCATTCATTCACCTATAAAAAGCCTTGAGTTTATCCTTCTTTATAGCTGAGTAGTACTCCACTGTATAAAATACCACATCTTTTTTATCCATTCCTCACTTGACGGGCATTTAGGTTGTTTCCATGATTTAGCTATGACAAATTGCACTGCTATAAACATGGGAGCAAATATATCGCTGTGCTATGATGTTTTCAATTCTTCTGCAAAAATACCCAGAAGGGAAATAGCTGGGTCCAATGGGACCTCTGACTTGCATTTACATATTGTAGTTACCTCGTAATCTCGTCTCCAAATCACTTAGAAATCACTACCATATCCCAGAGAAGCCGAAATAGGCCGCCATGTTGACAATATGCAAAGTTAAGTCTTGAAATAGTTCAATCACAAGTGATCCACCAGGAAATATGAAGTTTAATTTGGTGCCTTTGCTATACTGTCAATTTACCCTTTTAACATACTTCATACTAGAAGAACAAAAACAGCTCCTGCCATACTGTACATGTCTCCTGCTTTACTCCCACACTTAACTATTGAACATTCCCAGGAACGAGGTACAGATGTGTGCTTCTCCATAGGAAACAGTATAACGAGTCTTCCCCATGTGGGAAGAAACAGGCTTCTCAGAAAGTGCCACCTCACACCTGTCACCATGCAGCACATGGGATGACCGGGACAGGCTGACATGCCTAGCCACACTGTCATGTTTAGATTACGCTTCCTGTCTGCCAAACAGGGGTGGTCAAAGAGTCAAGTAGTGACAAAGATAAGCTTAACCATAATAAGGTTTGTGTCGTGGGCCAGACAGGAATGAAAAATGGTGACGTGGTCCACATGGCAGCTGAGGTACACGGCGAGGTCACTGTCCTCGCTGAAGAGGCAGCCACAGACACGCAGAAAACGTCCTGGTAAAAATGAGAGTGTGGTATTTCTAGAGTTGCTGCTTTTTTAATACAAAGCTAGAAATCTAGAGTTTTTGTGTAACATTTCCCAATTTCAAAATAAGAACAACTAATTAAAAAAAAAAAAAATTGCACGGGCCAAACAAAGCAGGTCTGCGGCAGATACACAGCCCCCAAAGAAATTTTTTCCAATCTCAAGAAAGAGTATGTGAGCCGTTAGGATGGTCTGTTCATGACTCAAATGGTTTGCTTGTGGCTGTGTAACTAAAGTACATCATAAAATATAACTTCTGTTACAGGCTAGTAGGAACCTGAATATGTAGACATAACCAGCTGCCCTCTGCCTCAGTAAATGGGTCACAAATGCCATAATAAACCCAAAAGGCACAGAAAACAGTTGTAGGAGTGGAGGCACAAGTTGGAAATATTTCACTTAAAGATCTATTCAATATGTATCAGACACTACTTTCCAGATAAAGGACGTCACCTTACCTGTGCTCTCTTGAGAATACTGTGCTTGTCAGTGCTTGCTGTTTGATAGACTTTTGCCATAACTATTGTTTTTCCCAAAGGCCCGCATGCTCTCACCAGCTTCCGGTTGCAATCTCACATTTGGGACGGTAAAAATAGAAGACACTGAGGACAGAATGAAAAGGTTTCGTTTATATATTTATAAATGTAGCATAATATTTTCTTTTTAAAACAACTAGACATTGAGATGGAATTCTGGATATCCAGCACATTGAACACCATAGCATATGTTAGTGATTAAAATGTCACCAGGCGTGGTGGCGCACGCCTGTAATCCCAGCGCTTGGGAGGCTGAGGCAGGAGGATTGTTGCAAGTTTGAGGCCAGCCTGGGCTACACAGTGAGCTCAAGGCCAGCCTGAACTGCACAGCGAGTCTCTGACTCAAAATAAAAAAAGACAAAAAAAAAAAAAAAAGTCAAGTGCCAAGTGGTCTCAGGCACACAAACATTCTCTCTCTCTCACGCACACACACACACACTCTCTCTGCTTGTCTCTTGGAACCATAGCTGAGACAATCTCTCACACTGCTCTGATCTAGAATGATTAACCTCAACTGGGAAGCAACCTATTTTGTCCTTTGTGCTAATTTTCATTCATTCATTGGAAAGGATTTAGGACAGACTAGAGGACTAGGAAATGGAGGCCGCAGATGTATTTACTGAGTCACACTGTTTTAGGAATTGCAGAATCGTGCAGCAAACAAATCAGGAAATTCTGGAGCTTGTAGATTCTGACTGGGGGAGACAGCCAGTACACAACCAAACAGATATAAATACAGCCGTGGTAAGTGTTACAAAGCAAACAAAGCAGGGTGGAGAAACCAGAAGTTTCAGGGTGGAAAGAGGTCAGTGAAAGAATCCACGAAAAAGAACATTTGCCCAGAGACCACAAGGAGGTGAGAGGGCAAGCTCTGCATTTATCTAGGGGGAAATGCAAGAGAGGAAACAGCCAGAAAAGACTCCAGGGAGGCAAAAAGAGCAAGTAGGAGACAGGTGTAAAAATACAGGTAAAGACAGGTGGACAGTGACATGTGTCTGGGTGTTAGTGCGGTGAAGACTGGACAGGGCATGTGACCAAGGAGGGAAAGTAAGGCTAACTCCCATCAGCTGGAGGAATGGTGTCTAGACACGGAAGAATGAAGTCAGGGCACACATGATTGGAGATGGAAACTTGGAAGCTGTCAGTGCGTCTGTGAGGTTTAAATCTTGACACTAGGTGAGGCTATCAAGACACCCCGGGAGTTTATGCAGAGAGAAAGATCTGCGCGTTAAGCCTTGGGATGCTCTTAACAACACAAGGCCTGGCTGATGAGAAATGGGCAAAGGAATCTGGAAAGGAGAGTTCAGGGAGACAACACAAAACCATGAGAAAATCCTGCCCTGGAAACCAAGTGCAAGAAGCGCTGGTTACTAGGAGTAGGTGGTGGCCGATAGACTAAAAATTCTTCTGATGCACCGAGATGAAGATTGGGAAAAGAACAAAGACTTGGAACCAGGAGTTCAGGAGTTGTGAGCACAGAAGGCTGGCTGGAAAGCAATTAGGACAGACGTGGTGCAAGCAGACATATTCAAAGTGGGCGTGGTTGTTTTATTTTTAAAAAGATGGCATGAAGCTACACAATGGCATGTGGTTTTAGGATAGCAGACAGGGCTACTCAGAAAAACCTACCAACACGGAATCTGGAAAGATCCTTTAGGACTACTGTGTCCAGCTGACTTGTTCTCTAAATGAGAAGTCAAAAGCCCAGGGGGACTAAGGCACTCGCCAAAGTTGCCCAGCCAGTTAAGAGTGGAGCCAAAGCTAGAATCCAAGGGCTCTGGTTCCCAGCTCAACGCACTGCACGCTGTACAATCTGCATTCACCCGATTTGAGTTTTGTGAATTAGCAAATGAATGTAATAAAATCAAGGACTCTGCACTATGAAGTGTATTTTGTTCATTTACTTTGACAAGGGTAGTTCAGCTTCAATTATTTATGTAACTTGATAGTATACACAGGAGAGTGCTCTGTGGTATATTTAGGGAGAGTAATGAATTTCTTCTAACCCAGCCTTTCACTTGCTTCTCTGCAATTAAATCTCGGTGAAAAAGTGGGGCAAGGCTGTTGGGGTTTCAGGACAGAGGGAGAAGGACAGGGTGTCACCAGACTCAGACAACTTTAACTGTCAGATCCCCAGGGAACTGCATCATTTTTTTGTGCTTGATGCTTTTATGAGTTCTTCTTTGATGACACGCTAAAACAATACTTCTAAATCTTGGCATTAGGTAACTACCAAATGCTTATAGTCTTAATGTGCTTCCACATCGATTTTGAACATAAGCTGGATTTTCTCATACCAAAAGCAGGGCTGTCACCCTTGAGAGTTTCCAGTTCTGTCACCCCCACCCCCACCAGTTCCTCAGTCTGGCCCATCCAGATATCTGCCTTCTACAGCTGTTCCTCGGTGACAACTGCTCTATGGGACACCATGCTGCACAGACGGTGTGGGATATTCTGCAGTCACAGTGTGACCCATGGGGGCTCCAGTCCGCTTGCTTAAATCTATCAGTTAAAACTCCCCAAGGGAAATCTGTTTAGATGAACCCCTGGACTCCATAAAAGCACTTGCTCATGGGTCCCTCTCTCTTTCTACCTGTGCTCCTAGACCCCGGTGTGTGTGTGGCCTCAGGCATGCTGCCTCCCTTTAGGGATGTGGCTAACATTTCACACCGTGATTGTCTCACTGGAGCTATGCCCCTGAGCTGCTCCCAACCCTGAGTTCTGCAGAGCAACCTGTGCCGGTGGGCCCCCTGCAACTGCTCTTCTGTCTGGGCCTCTGGTGGCTGCTGGGGAAGGGTAGATACCATCTATATTGATGAAGAAACTGGAAGTTGTATTTAAAACAGTAACCTGATGAAGTGTCAAGGTTTAACGAAATAAGAAAGATATATTGTTACATATTCTTCCAAAGCAAATGAAAGTACAGCACAACATATCATATCTCTCTCTCTCTCTCTCTCTCTCTGGCTTTTTGAGACAGGGTTTCACTATGTAGCTTGGGCTGGCCTTCAACTCACCCAAGCTCGTCTCAAACTCACAGCAGTCCTCCTGCCTCAGCCTCCTGAGTGCTGGGGTTACAGGTGTGCACCACCATGCCCGACCTACCATCTCCTTTTTCTACTAACCTATGGAATGGCTGCAGTGTTACATGTTCCCTAGGCTCCAATAACATGCACGCTCATCATACAGCGTATGGCACAGCAGAGCAGGCCCACCAGGCTGGAGCCCACTATGAACTTATTTTTGTTCCTGACCCTCTTCTTTCAATCCAGGTTCAGTTCTACCCTGTGTAAGTACTGTACTTGAGTGCAGTGGACAGTACTTAAACAACGTTAGGAGTGATCTTACGGAACGAGAATACCACAGACTCAGTTATGACACTGGCCCAAGTCATGTGTTCACGCCCTGAATCCTAATGTGTTGATATTTGGAAATAGGGCCACTGGGAGGTGATAAGGGTTGCATGACGTCAAAGAATGGAACACTCACGATGGGATGAGCTGCTTTGTAAGGAAAGCAAGAGAGAAATGCTCTCTCCACTTGTGAGGACACAGTGAGGTGCCCTGCTGACAGCCAGGAGACAGTCCTCACCAGCAACCAGATCTGCTGGTGCCTTCCTCTGGGACTTCCCACCCTTCCAACCGTGAGGAATGAATGCTTTTGTTTAAGCCACGCACTCTAAGGTTTCCCATCATAGCATCTGTGTAGATGAAGGCCGTGAGGTTCCCAGGACTGAGAGTCTCAACCTGGGTTGCTAGGACAATTTGTTTATTGGTTCTGCAACGCCTCTTCCAGGGCGACCTCCTTCCGAATCTCCCTGAAAGCGAAGCATGTCAGGGTTCTGCTGCTGCTGCTGCCATTTGCCAGTGAACTTTTACAAGACTCTACACTAATGCGAAGTTTAAATTTAAGAATTTTGAAGATTTCTAAATACATTCTGCAAAATATTAGCCCAGACAACAGAGTCATGAAAACCAGTCATTTTACTCAAAGGAATGAATTCCCGAAGTCTCTGGAGTCTAGGAATTCTTTGTTTTGTAAACATGTTTACAAATATAGCCACGTTGGTTGTTGTAAATGGAAAAGACTAGAGTACTTAATACTGGGATTGTCCTTCCTTGTGACTGGATTTATGCTTCATAATGATTATCTTTGGGATACAGAAAAAGCATTTCTGTAACTCAAAATTGTTACTGGAGGCATTCAGTAGAACCTTGCTTTAAAAATATAATGATTTTTCATCTTTATTCTCCCCCCTTCAAAAGGCTTCGCTGCTCCTGATGTTTAACGTTATGCAAAGACGTGTTTCTGCCAATGAATATCGCCTTATGGTTATGCTTCTGCAAATAGCCTGCTGTGAGCTGATAAAGGGATTAATGCAGCCAAAATTCTTAATCTGTGAAATTACAAATTAAATTCTCATATTAAAAATACCACCCTGAGGTATTTTTTGTGGTTTTAATTCCCCTCCGGTGTTCTGCATACATTGTGCTTGTTAATGACAGGGACAAGGCTGTCTCCGTTGGTAGCCTGCTGCCGAGTGATAATGTGGAGGCATTTACCCACTGATAGAAACTGGATTTAACCACTGGCTGATAAACTAAGTGGCAAGTGGGTAATAAGTCCATATTAACAGAAAAGTAGTACTACAGAGTTCAGAATCCAGAGACCATCAAAATCCTGGCTTAAACTCAATCATCAAGTCAGATGGGATTGAGACGTCAGGAAGTAGGGGCAATAGCAAGTTGTACCTTATGCTACACAGGGAAAACAAATCACAGGTCTGAGTGTGACGAGCCATAAACTAATGAACCTATTTGCGTCATTTTCTTTTTCAGGCTAGGAAGACATGTCACCAATTCACAGAAATTTTTCCTTCAATTTTTCAAAAATTGGGGACCATTTGTTTTTGTTATTATCAGTGAGTGGACATTCAAAAAGAAAACATGACAATATAGAGTAAATATGAACTAGGAATATGTGAAAGGTTAATAAGGATTTGCTAAGCATACAGAGTAGTAGGTTGCTATAACTATAGTCACTTTAGGGTAAAAAAACAGTAGTTGAAAATAAGTGTGAGATATCAAAAAAGATTGTAGGTAGGAATACTCGAGTTGTTACTTGAGATTTAGTTCTAAAACAAAGGGTTACTGCTAAGGAAAATTCAATACTGCAATGTGATAGAAAACATTCTAAGATTCTAGAGATAAAGAAAATAACTTTGGTTTACTATTAATGATGTACAAGGATTAATAAATATATTATAAACATTTATGTATATAGGTACTATGTTCTTTTTAAAGCAACCAGAAAAGAGTATAAGACAAAATATCCCCAATGGGGATTTGGGGAGAATGTTTCACCACTGAATCAAAATATTTCTACTGCAATAGTATTTTGCAAAATTTCACAAAAATTCTGTTTCACACTTGGAAAGAAAGCTTAGATCCTCCCAGCCATAAATCCTCCCCCAAATATTTTAAATGTAATTGAAAAAGCCTGTATAAATACGAACGCTTTTGTAAAAACAAAACAAAAATCCACCCAGGAATGTGCTTTGTTTTAAAAGATACAGAGAAGAGCTGTCTGTAAAAATACCAAGAGCTTATGTAGTTAAAATGAATTACATGTCTTCAGTTCTTACACGTCAATTCAGTGCATTAGCCAATGGCCAACTCTGTTCTTGAGCTCACTGTATAGCGGACCTTTTTTTAAGGTTACTGTTACAACCAAGATGGTCTCTGAGAATCAAACAGGAATAAATCATTTCTTCTCTGTGTACTGCAGCCAGTTAAAATAGTACTGCATGCATAAAGTACTAAATATGTAAATCATATTTTCCTTTCCCTTTATGACTGCTCAGATCAGTTTTTGGACACATACATAATCAAATACAAAGACATGCAACTGCAGACTGCAGAGTAGAGATAGCAAGAGAGGAATCCATTTTCTCCCTGTGTCTGGTAAGCTAGCGATTGAATGGCAGGATTCCACTAAATATATACACATGATCGCCCTCCCCTCCTCTCACGCAGCACATGCTCTTTCTCTCTCTCTCCACACACACATGCACACACACCTACGTGTGTCATGCACACACATACACAGCTTCTTATGCATCTTGTACACAGACGACAAAGTGCTTTGGTTGCACATTGCAGAGGTGTCATACTCACTATCAGTCAGTTCCCATAGCCGCGGGGGCAGGTCACTGAAATACTCGTGGCTCAGGGCAGCCTGTGCAGACAGTCTGTTCTTTGGGGAACACTGTAGGAGCTTGGAGGCCAGATCCTCTGCATGATTCACATAGCTGAGCCTAAGAACACAAACAAAAAAAGAGACAAATCAGACCAACGAGGAAAATCCACCACATAATTTTTCTGTACTTCAATTTATTCCTGGTCAGGAAAACAACCTAAATTACCTGCTGAAAATAAACAGGCAGAATTCACTGGTTGCTAGAATATCTGTTACTCCAAACTGACTTTTGCTCTAGATACCCTAGTACTGTATCACTGATTTAACATATTTCTACTGTAAGCAAAGGGTTGATACTTTCAGAACGGCTAAAACTAAGGCTGGAGGTAAAATATTTCAAAAGACAATTTATTAAATAGTTGTCCACAGAATCTATGTATTATATGCACATCTGGATATGGTTATAGTAAATTAGTACCAAACAGGAAAATTACAATGCATCTGCTAGGTTGATCAAGCCGTTAAAGAGAATAAAAAATAATATAAAAATCATTAGAAATGATACAGAGCTTCAGTAGACAAGATGGTAGGAATTCATCAATGGTTGCTATATTGCATATTGTTGTCTTCAAATTAGTTGTTCATCTTGCATTCTTACATCCGTAATCTGAGCAACTTCGCTGAAGATAACAGTATGAAATATAATAACCACTGTTAATTCTTATCATTCTGTTTTGAAACCCTGTATCATTTTTATTGTTTTTGCTGTGTTTTGTTTTTGTCTATGCTGTTGCTATTTTGTTATTGTTTTTTCTTATTCTCTGTAAAATAAAAAGAATAATCACCTAAAAAATGCAACTGCTAATAAATTCTCTAGTTACTAAAATTACTTTCCCTCTAAGAATTTACGTTTTCTTGCAATGAATACAAAATTACTGAAACAAGTACCCTATCAAATATCAACTATCATAATATTAACCTACAGGTTAACAAAAGGGGACATTCTTAAATGATATGGGACTGAATCAATTCAAGATGACCTTTAAAACAACAGTAGATAGCAAATATGTGTCTCAAGATTATCGAAAAAAGGATAGAAGTAAAGTCTTTCATGTGGCATAAGCTTTCAAATGGTTCGCAGCACTGCTTAGTCCAGCCCAGCCCTGCTTTTTACGGAATTGCTATTTCTCTGTTCCCAGCAATCAAACACGGATAATTAACATAAAAATGATAATAAAGAGTATTCTTGACAATGGCTACCATTTATGGATGGTTGAACATATTAGACACCTTCCCCGGGCATTTCTCACATTATAGTCAAGTAACAGTCCCAATTTAATAGAGATGGGAGGTAAAGAGGAGGTAAAGAAGTGGGTGTGGATTGCTGAATTAACAATCCATGTTCTTTTGAGACTTTTAGCCCTGGGTCCCTAAATTTCTAGAATACAGCCCAATGCATGCAGTGACTCTCAGACGCAGACAGAAGTGGTGAAGGAAAGTTGCTTCTCCCAGTACTATAAAAAAATGCCTCAAAGCCACCGAACACATAATTAGCCAAAACCCATCTTTTCTCAATGGCCAACACAATTTGCAAGCAGCTCTTTAGGACTGACTTTAAATTGTTACGGGGTAGGGCAGTCAGGATTGAGGAAGAGAAAAGCAGGTAAAGAATTTACACAGAGAAAGGGAGAAAGCAAAGAAAAATATTACTCCACAGATCCAGACTAACAGACCTCTTTGTTTTCATAGTGAAGGTCTCACAGTCTAGCTCAGTGTTTAGTTGCTGCAATGTTGTGTGGGTTCTTTTGTTTGTTTGTTTGTTTTGTTTACAAATGGACCAACAGACTGGTTTTAAATGCCTGAGTAAAGAGAGATTGGGCCATGTGAATGGAAACATTCTTAAAATTCTTCACAATCCCCCTGCCACCGTTCAAATTATTTCTTCCTCTTCCCAAGACTTCCTTGAAATTACAAACTTTTCATTCATGTTTAAATAATTAAACACAAAATTTAAGATGGACTTCATGGCAAGCACTGCACTTATATTGAATGTACAGTTTATATATAATCTTGATGAGCACTACACTCATACAATTTTATATAGATTTGATAAAGTAAAACAGTGCTAGATTGGGGCTGGATCTAAGTTTTAGGTCTAGCACAATTTTTAATAAGTGAATATATAGTAAATATATATTAATTATACATGACATGCATAATATATATTAAACATAATTAGTTAAAAGGAGCAAGAAATATTGTTAAGCACCAAAACTGTATGCTGTTATTGTGCATGGATAAGAAGAGGAAGGTATGCTGGGTGCAGTGGTGCACGCCTATAATCCCAGCACTCCAGCGGCTGAGGCAGGAGGATCCTTGCAAGTGTGGGACCAGCCTGGGCTACAAAGTGAGCTCAAGGCCAGCCTGAACTTCATAGCGAGACCCTGTCTCAAAAAGACAAAAAAAAAAAAAAAAAAGGAAAAAGAAGAAGAGGAAGAAGAAGAAGGGCGGCGGGAGGAGGAGGAGGACAAGGACGAGGAGGACGAGGACAAGGACGACGAGGAGAAAAGGAAGGTGATTGAACACTCGGTGTACGAGTATTAAACACTAAATTCATTACTTTAGAACACACAAAATACAAAACCACACGTATTATTTTTGATCTTAGTTTTCTTATCTACTGAATAAGAATGATAAATCACCTGTGTCTGCAGTTCTTTCAACAATGAATCACACATGAATCACTGCTTTGAAGAACTATAAATATTCATAGTTGTACCTTTGGTTTTGCAATAGATTGTTGATTACATTTAAGTGTAATATGTATGTTTACATAGAGCAGATTCACCAGTGTAAGAGAGCCCACCCCAACTGACTAAATTTTAATGTTCATGAAATAACCACATTTTTGTTATATTTAGTTCACACAAAATATATAAATTATTATAAAAAATTTTAGTTTAGGAATTCTATTTCCTCACTTGCATTTTTAAAAACTTATTTTACTCCACTGTTCCCCAGGCATTTTTAACATAACAGTCTTTGTCACTGTTAGAACCATTTTTTGCATCCACTTCAGTTGTGTGAGGTATGACGCTTTTGAAAATCCATGTATAATATCCTAATTAGAAATTTTATCTGAAGTCTTGGGTGTTCCTTATCAGATTTTTAGAATGACTGTGTTGTCAATCTCCCATTGCTATGACACATGTTTTCAACTTTTCCTTGTAAAGTCTAGCAATTTTTGTTTTATAAATTGTAAGGCTGGGTAATTATAGCTTTGTGGTGTAAATCTTTACACTGCGATATTTTTCCATCTTGAATAAAACTAAGTTAACATTCATTTTTTTCCTCATACTAATTTAATGACCTCATATTTCTTTTGTTTAGTATTTCCCTGCCACAGCTTTTGTCACCTGCCCACTTTTAGTGTTTTATGTACTGTGATGGTTATGCTTGGTTGTATCAACCTAACTGGTTTGGGAGCCAGGGGATTGGTGCGGCACATGTCTGCGTGTGTCTGGGTGAATTATGGGAGTGGGACCTTGGGTACTACATCTGGTCCCGTTCCCCTGCTCTGCTTCCCAGATGCCAAGAACTAAATGTATTTGCTCCACCACCTCCTTCCGCTATGATCTTTCTGTCTTAGGGCAGCTGACTATGGACTGAATCTCCCTGAAGTATGAGCCAAATTAAACCTGTCCTCCTTTAAGCTATGGGCATCTGGTATTGTGTCCAGCATCGAGAAAGTTGATTAATATATATACTTAACCTTAAGGTGCCTCTTTCATAAATATTATTTAGCTTGGCTTGATTTTTATCCAATTAAACAATCCTTATTTTGTAAGAAAGTCCATTTACAGTTTGTGATTCCTGGTCTATTTGGAACCTGCTATCAACCCAATTTTGCATTCAAATATTTTATCCTCCTTTACATTTTTCCTACCTCCTTTCAAACTGAGTTTAAAATTCAACATCTTCTATCTTCTATTTTAAAAGTCATACATTACATTTCCATGTACTTAGTGGCTACTCTGAACTCTTCTATTTTTTTTTTTTCATTATTTCCTCAGATGTTTAGTATGTTTTTATAAGCTGGTGGACACTCACAAATTATTTCTTACATCACATAAAAAAACACAATCTAGATAGTATATACATATGATTAAACTAACATTTATATATATAGTCATTTTATTAATTACATAATAAAACAAATGATTAAATATGCAAAGATTAAGTTACTCAGCTTAGTAGGCATATAACATATGCATCTTCTAAATTCATCAACAGAAACCCACTTTTTTTGCAAGAGGTTGGGAAGAGGAGGGAAAAAAAAAATCACACTGCTAACAAAAATAGCTGGTAAACAACTTCCAAGAAATGTAGAAAAAAAATTACAGGATTTTTAAAAAGGTTATTATTAAGAATTATATTAGGTATAACCACAAAACTTGTCTACCTTAAAAATATTTATGAAATTAAAGGACATTTATCCTGCAGAAAGCAAACTCATTTTGCTAAAAATAACAGCTCACTCCAACTCTTTCTTCAGGCCCTCTCTTTCAAGTTGCACCCTAAAGTGCAAACATTAAATTAACTTTAGGACTTTTTTGTTTGGAGGCATTAAAGATAATGTGCTTCTGTACAATGTGGACTTTCCATGAACTTTTCCACCATGGTTTGTGATTTCCAAAATGGAAGTTTTCATAATAGCACAAAATGAAATTTATAGAAAGACATTAAGCAGTCATCATAAGACTTGGACAAAAGCCAACAAAACCAATGTTTACACAACCTAATGTATACTGTTTCAAATGTGGAAGATATAAAATAGCATGCAAATAGCTATATAGGTCCTACTAGCAGAGTTTGAAATGATGGAGGGAATAAACCACAGGTCTACCCCAGGATTATTCTCAGTTCCTGGGATTTTAATGCTGTATGATAAGGAAAATGTACAGGGACTGTGCTGAGTACTGTAACACCCAATCTCTCTACATTTGTTATGTACTGGTAAGATTCTGGCATGGGAATGGATCTGAAGAAGACAAACTGATACTGCATGATTACAGGAGAAGTTAGTTGATATAAAGGGTAAGCATATTTTAAATGATG